GAGTCGGAGAATCACTCAAGCGGCGCGTTTCGCCGAACATGCCGTTCACGGTTTGTTCGAAAAAGCAATAGAGTGCGTTCGATTTCCGGCAGGCTGCCCCTAGAGAAAACGCCGGGGTGGTCGGGCTAGCGTTTTTCGCCCAACCGCGCGTCGATACATATCAAAGGCGTTTCGCGCAACGCCACAGCCTTCGCCTAACCGTCACCAGGGCACAGCATTCGATGGGGATTTTGGTCGAGCCTGTACGACCCCCCCCCTTTTTGGGGGTTCGGTACGACCCCCCCCTTTTTAGTGTTTGACTCACCATAATTCCTGAAATTAGATATAAACAATTAGATATAAAAAATAGATATAAACAGTCCTACCTAAATTGACTTGATTTACTTATGTACAAGCGTTTGTGATCAAAAACACGATGAGTAGCATACACACAGCATAAATGCGAGTTAAATGAGACTATGATTAAAACCAAAAAACAAAAGCGGTATAACAGAAAAAGAAAACAAAAAAGAAATACGCCTAAAATGCATTAACCCCGAGATGTGGAGTACGGTAGCAGAGATGCGTACGTAATTGCAGCCGTGACTGGAGCAAACGGCTATTAGCCATGGAGCGAGAATTTTCAGCAAAGTAGGGTGTCTTTGAAGGACCATAACTTCCTCAAAAGCGGACCTGTGGGGAAGAGGAGAGCGTATTGGTAAATTAGAAGGTTTGATCTTCCTGAAAGTACTAAAATGTTCATGAAGGTCGCGAAAATCACAGAGAAAATCTGCCATAGGGATTCGTTGGGGAGTGAAGGGTTGAAGTTCAAGTTGAACAGGTTTGAATCAATATATTTTTTTTGTAACTCAACATTTCACAAATCTGAGAACGGATCCGAGCTTCTCAAGATTTTCTCTTTCTAAAAACCTATTGAACTGTTCCTGAAGCTCTCGGGATTCATGAGATCTCGCGATGGGGATTTCTTAGGGAGCACTCCCAGCCGCGCGAAAAACCCGTTTCCTGTGCACCGTTTCAAGTGACCAGGGCAAGAGTTCTGAATAGCCAGGAACGCATGTAGAACGTATCCTGTGGTGGAGCAGGAGCAGGATATGGTTCGTTTAGCGCCGATCACGCTGACTTTGTATGCGCCGCGCACTGAGGTCCGCGCAGAAGTGATGGGATGGTGCAACTTGTGCATAATGTGTGTCCACGCGCGCAAATGTGTCTGTAGGATTCAGGGAGGTCCATGGCGAACCTGTGCACTTGTCTACAGTGTTTTCCCTTGCGGATGATGTAGCGTGTCCGTGTCGACGCCGCCAGATCTGTGCTCCGATAGTTGCTGATTCCGATAAAGGAGACCAAGTGCTGGAAAACGTCTGGTACGAACGATATGGTAGTCCTGTCGTTTGTCAGAAAAAAAACAGGTTGGCTCAGCGCCAAGCGTGATCGCGGACACGCCCCATCATCCGCAGCAAACCAGAGTATGAGTTGTAGTGTTTAATCACTTACGAGATGTTGTCGACTTATTAATAATTCCAATTATTTCGGATTAGTTTGATGGATGAAAGTTTTGTACTCATTTTTTACATATCCGAGTTCTCTACGAAGCAAGTTCCGCTACACAGGATTCAGCACACTGACACCTTTGCGCTCGATACTGGCTACCGCACTCATTACGACCCCCCCCCTCTCCTGGCGGCCAAATACGACCCCCCCCCTATGGGGATTCCCCAACCAATGCTGTGCCCCATGCACCAGCCATCGAAGCTTTGAGTGCCGGTACTTAGATACCCGGGTGGGCGTGGCCACAGGGGCAAGGCTTCGATGGACCGGTGTTTCCCAAATTTGTGCTGCAATAGATATTAGACGGGAGCACCGTTTACAAGGTAAACGTTCCTATTGTCTTCAAGGTGTGCTTAATGTTGATTTCATGATCATACGTACAGTCGTCATCCTTGCACTTGATAGGGGTGTGTCGGCGAGAAGGAGCGTGCACACTGTTGAAGCCTTCTCAGCCTTTTCGTTGAAACGCGTATGCGACAAAAAGTGATAGAAAACGAGTAACACGAAGGATATAATACAGTAATGTCACTTCCTGGTTCAACGATTGGTGCAGTACGGGTGCGGGCGACCGCGCCGCACGCAGCCGCACTGACATTGACTATCAAGTGCAAGGATGACGACTGTAAGACCTGATAACCACTCTTTCGCCTCTGCCTAATGTATACCTTTGCAAAAAACATAACAATCTAAGTTAATTCGTCCTCTCGGAACTTCTTAGTTCAAGCAGTAGAAACAACAGCTGTTTAATAAGAAGGAAATTATCGTCTCCAAGCTCAGGAAGAAGCGCTGAAGCCTAATTATATCCGTCCACGTCAAGCCCTCGCCCTATTTTGGCCACGCCCACCGGGTATCTAAGTACACGCACCCTAAGGACGCTATTTATTCCTACCTTCGACAGGTTCTTTTGTAGCTGGGTCTTTTGTTTTCCCATGTTCACATTTCCTCCCTCTTTTTTCGCTGTACTCTGCCAGTGGGGGTTGACTAGTGGCAGAACCTGATGGATTCTGACCCTATTCAACTTTATATTGGCACGACAGCATTCCCACTTTCATTCCTCTATGTGTGTGAGTGTTTCAATGAGTACGAGTCTGTGTGTGTTCTGTTCAGCTTCACCCACTTCCTTTTATTCTTGCCCCCTTCCTCTTTCTTTTTTCGCTGTTCTCTGCCAGTGGGGCTGAATTGAGGCAGAACCTGATGGATTCTGACCCTATTCAACTTTACATTGGCACGACAGCATTCCCCATTTCATTCCTCTCTTGAGTGTTTTGAATGAGTACGAGTCTGCGTGCAAGTGTCCGGTCCGTCCGTGATTTCTTGCGGTATGAAATCACAGCTACGAAAATTTTCATCAACTCTGGGGGGGGTTTCTTCACCTCCTTCCATTCAATTTTCCCTTTTTCTTTTTTTCTAGCCCCCTTGTTTGTTTGTTGCTGTCTAGCTTCTGGCGGGGGTTTGCATTGCGGCAGAACTTTGAAGGATTCTAGCCCATCACAGCTTCCTCGTCAGCTCAACACCAATTCCTTCCATTCCTCTTCACTAAAAGGAATGGAAGGAATTGGTTCTGTTCCTTGTTCTTTCCGTGCTGAGTGCGTGTGTAATGTTGCCGTATCGACGTGTGTTGTATGTATTGTTATCGTACGTGGGTATAGGTAAAAATCACAAAAAATGCTTATCCATTTTTGTTATACGAACACATGATGACCATTCTGTGCACGTGCTGTGCTGTGGTTGACAGAGACGGGCGAAATGGCCTTTTCCTAAAACCACCCCGTTATTATGTTATTGTTTTGTGCTTGCCGTATCTTAGAGGAACTTTACTTCTAGAAAATTTCATTTACAGTAAATTAATCGAGTTATCTTCAATCAAAGGCTAATTTAATGTAACTATTCGTGATGTTTAACTCATCAGCGTTTCCATTGAATGGTGGTGCAGTACTGACAGGCAACCGGTACATGTCTACATAGTGCCTCCATTGGAGGGTATCATCTGTTCTCCTTTCCAACATTCTACACTCCTTCTCATACCGTATCACTACCATTGCTCCCATAATTATGAGCGAAAGAAGTCCAATCAGCATCGCGCACAATATAATGATTCTACGGAGATGAAACTACGTGTCCATGAAACCGTTTCCATATGTGACGGATTTGCACCAGGTGGAAGTTGAGGAGTTGAGTCCTGATTGATTAATGTTGCATACGGCGCCAATGGCATTGGAAAATTTGCCTGACTTACCGGTATTATGATCGTTATATTGGTGTCCAATGCTCCATAAACCACACGTGCTCTGATGTGCGTGGACCCAATCATCAGCATTTTCTCTTTCGGTATTTTGACAGCAAATACAGGTGCTCGAATGTCGATAGACTGCCATTCAGCGGTTGTGTACTCGGGTGCCCAGAACATTTTCTTCGCCCTAGTCGCAATCACGACTGAACGCGTCAACGGGCGTACCAGTAGGAACTGCAAACAGCAAATGACGTAATTAGTACAAATATGAATGGGCTACATCAACAAGGATATCCATCGCTTTTCGATTGTGGAATTGTACTGTGAAGCAGAAGCACATGTCCTGTCCTGCTTCGGCGGATCAAGTTAAGCGGCATCCGACGTTTGCGTCTGCAGGTTGCATAATTTCACAGACGACACACGGTGACACAGGCTCTCTTCTTGCACTTTCCGAAGTGAATGAACTCCAGACTGGTCTGTCCTTTGCCCATTGCGTACAATCCTCCAACATTAGACGTCGAAAATGAGCTCATGTTCTTCGAGAATTGGCCGAGCGGTTCCACGTGAAGCAGATAGTGTACGTCAGACAGCGCTGTTGTCGGGTAACACACCTAAAAATGTTCGAAAAACCATGTGCCAGTTTTCTGGGTAGTTTAGTTTGTATGGTGCTATTGTGCACGCCGAGGTTTTCAAGTGAATCTGTTCATTCTTGGCTGTCTGGCTTTCGATGCATTCGTCTTTCTCGGAAACCGGATTCTACTGCCGAAACGGAACAATTTTTTATACCCATATGATATCCAGTTGCGAAACGTTGAGAGGCATAATATAAGCTAATTAAATATAGAAGCTGAATGAGTAGAGAAGTTGTCTGTCAGCATCACATTACGATGACACCTCCTATACTAACCTCAACCTCCATCACTTTGTGATTCATTCCGAGCACCGTGGCTTTTATCACGTTTCTCGCCACTTTGCCGTACGTTTTCAACAGCGTGTTATGGAAACGCTCTCCCATGAACTGCTGAATAGCAGACTGTATGCTGTGATTGCTTGACGACTGCATAAGCACTGACGTTACTCTATCGAAGCTGAACAGCTGATCGAGCATGTCGTGTACCATCGGGCATGTACTTGTCTCACCGAGGAAAACGCGATTCCGAATCGTAAGCTGTAATTTTTTCACCACTGAAACTTCAACTTCTTTCTCTCCGCAATTCATGTGTACTTACCTTGATGTTTCGAGAGTCACTGTTTTGCTGATCTGTGTTATTATACTCATAATGGTGTTCCACTCCTCGCTCACCCTCTAGGATTAAGGTATACAACACAATATCGTTATACAAACACAGCACATCCTCAGAGGAATGGTCACACACCGTTTGAAGAACATCGATCTTCCCCTGTCCAATTAAGCTCTCCAGACCTTTGGAATATCAGTCCACCAAGTCCTATTCCGAGTCCCAGCGTCAAGATTCCGGCATACGAGGAAAGCAGTCCTGTGGGCCTTATGAGGAACACAGCGGTTTAGTAGAGCTATCGAAAAATACACAAAATTCACAAAATCACCTGTAAAGCGGTACGGAGGCGCGACGTTTATCAAAGAGTTTCTCATATGATTTTGTGTTCAGCCAGAATTTTTGCCTTTATCTCCGTATAAACCTTCAAATATCATGTATAACCATATACTTGCACTTATAGTCGAAACTGTCACAGACTTTGTATCGAAGAGTCTCATTCAGGAAAGTCGAGTTGCTGGTTGCTTGAAGATCGTCTTCGACTGATCTAATCGCCATCTCGAACACCTCACCGTCAACGTAGCCAGTGTAATCTGGAATGGTGAAGTTCGGTCTTCTGAAGAGCGATTGCTCCAAAAATGCGCTTACCCATCAACACTATTCCACACTCAGTCTTCCGTTCTGCCACCTCGCCAACAATTTCTGCGTGGAGTCCATTACGTAGCAATTCTTCGTGAGCTGCTTCACTCAATGTCGCCGGAATGTGTTCTCTTTGTACGAGGAATGGTGCTGATTGTGGTGTCCCAAGCTCGCTGCAGAGAAGCAAGACAAGTGCCATGACCTTGCAGATATGGAAGGTTTGCATTGCCAACGATAAACAAACTTCTGGAACGGCTGTTAAACAGATTCAAAATGGTTGTGATCGTCAAAGCAAGTACAGCGTGTGCACATATACACCTCTCTTATACTGAGCATTTGATTGAAAGCATTTATTTGTGGTGTGCGACCAGTTAAATGGCAATGAACACGTCCGGTCTTTGTGTATGTGGATCGTTGAGCGAAATATGCAGCTCCTGTTTCGTTTACTCTAGCGAGTTCTGCCGATCGACATCTCTTGTCGGACTAAGGTGACCAGATACCCGTGTGTAACAAGTGACTCTGTCGTGCTCTGTGGACTTGTTCATAGCTGAAATAGAGTGCTATCATAGGAAAACTATGGCTCTTAACTGAGCTATGGGGAATTTTCATTCACCTTTCATCACTATTTGCCTCTTGTTTTCTCGTTTACCTCCTTGTTGACTTCGTAGTTGCTTGACGTTACCATCGTTTTTGGTATGTTTCACCATTTTTTCTATACCCTTGGATATATATATGTACATATATATATATATATATATATATATATATATGTATATATTATTATTATTATTATTACTATTATTATTATTATTATTATTATTATTATTATTATTAGTTGATTATTGTGAGCGTTCATCTTGCTTGTAATCGACAACAAATCGCAACATGTTTCCTTCTTCGTCCCTAATGCGGTAGCAATACAAAGATAGGCAATAAAGCAAAGTGCCAATGAAAAATGTGAATACTCAAACGTTCCCCTTGTTTTATTGTTTTGATTGTTTATAGTATTCCCGTCTATTGTATTCATATATTTCGGGTTGGCTGTTCTGAAAACACGATAAGACGAACAAACTGCAGTAACCAATAAAAGGAACCGGAACTAAAACCACTCTCAAAATGAAATGCAAAATTCTCACCGGTGATGAAGTTAAATCGTAGAACGTGCATTGCCTAGCGATGTTGCAGTGCATGATATTGACGCATGGTTTCGAGTGCGTATTGCAGCTCCAACTGTGTCTCGGAGAGCAACTTGACCCACATTTCATCATTCTTCGTTCTAAAGTGCAGCACTTCTGCACTGCCGAATTCCTCAAGTGGTCGATCCTCTTGTCTCATAGAGTACATGGTTGCGACGCCTAGAGCATCAACACACATTGCCTGGGTAAATATAGTGATTACGTTTTCCAAGGTTTACCGGTAAGCATTTTTTCTTCCGCTGCCAATCAACATAAGCCCCGCATGAGCTGTACGCCTTCGGTGCCCGCGGAGATATCAGTTCACCCAGCAGCACTATCGTTGCTGACTGATCATTCACAGACTTTAACAACAGTACGACCGAGGCGCTTTTCCGGTAGGCGGCATTTGAAGTATAGCAAGTAATTTGCATAGCTGATTGCACTCTGTGAACTCATAAATTCTGAGCATTGGGTCCACCTGAAAAGAAAATTGCGTACAAGCTACGGGAAAAGCTAAGTGAACAGTGATTTTTTTACCGTCGTCTTTTCTGTGCAAAGTCTTGAGTTGCTCTGCACAAACGCGAAACTGTCCATTTGATAAAATGTGTCCAGTTGAAGGTAGCCTTGCACTTCACTTTGTAATCCTACCCACAGCAGCAGACGCTCTGCTGTAAGCGGTAAGCAGCTCGCACTACCGACGCATCTAACATGGCCTGGTATCGTCGGATGTTCTGTCAGTGATATTTTGAGGTAAAGGAGCATCGAACTGAGAGTCGTCGTTATCTGAAAGTCAGCTTATATCCACCGAAATCATTGCTGAGAAAGCTGGAAGTAAGGTTTCACTATGTCGTAATGCAATCACCTTCTCTACTTTGTCGTTGGCCTTTCCACATCACCACAGACGGCTCCGGCGTATCCTGTGCTGTGTTGGCATCGAAAAACATCATATGGATCCCCTGAACAGTTGTAGAAGTTTGTCTATACAATCTAACTGAGTAATATTACAGTTACACAGACCTGCAGACTGCGTTACAGGTGTTAGTACATAGTTTCTTTTCTCTAGCATCGACTCACGGCAAAAGGGTTGTTTCTTGGTCTTCAAACAAGTTGCGCCCGTGTCTGTTGGTTTTTTCGCAGAACAAAATTTAAGATGTTCCATTTACTGCTTTTCTCTAATTTCACAGGTTTCCATCGCTTCATCCTTGGTCCTTCATCGCTTTCACCCGAACTTAGTGCTGAAATTGCATTTTGAAGCAGAAGCTCTGATTATTGCTGCCGCTAAGGAATTAACAACAACAACACTATGAAATAGGTACCTTCAACTAATGATGAGGGTTTTGCCTGTTTCCTTGGAGATTTCCTTGATTCCACTAAGGTTGTGTCGCCTACTTTACCTAGATAGGAACGTAAACGTGAACAAATTTTGAATTGATGAATCACAATTTTGAGGTGTACAAAATACCTATTGGCTTTGAGGGAACGTAGTCGGCGTCATCAATATCAGATTCTTCTGAATCCTCACTCTCTTCTCTGGAAATCGGTTCCCGAGGTCCACAGTCCTGCTCAGCCTCCTCCTCTGTCAAATCGTTTGTCACCACATGAAATCTGAAGAGTCAAGTGTGAAACATCAGATGAGCGAAACAGTCAAAGTGGTTTTGTATACCCTCTGAATTTCACTCGTCGTTTGACCGCCATCACTTCCTTCTCGTCCAACTTTTGCTGCCGCCTGGCCATCGCCTGTAAACATCGGTATGCTCTCACAGCAGGCTCTACGAAATCGTCCACGTAGTGAAGCAACTGCGTTTTTTGGGAGTGGCCTGAAAAGATGTGAGTGTTGCTCTCAGAAGATGATGGGATGGCAGCAGAATACTGGCTGACCCATCAACATGGCAACATTTGCGTCAGCTGAGTCCAATGTATCTCCTTTCTTCTGAGCCATGTAGGTGTCGAATTGTGAAGTGCTTGCTGCGTGTCTCACCTTCAAAATGTTGACTTGTTTCCTAATGATTAATTCATTGACAGTTCCTCACTAACCGCATTGCATGTGATAGCCATTTCTTCACAGTTGAGAATTTTGAAGAAGCGTTTCAGA